TGCAGGTGGAATTGCCAATCCTCTGTTCCCTCGGGGTGGCTCCTCCATGGTGTAAACCTCCCTCTCATATTAACACCATTCCCTGAGCAATCACTAAATTTTTAAAGTTGGTTTTAGGTCTCTGTGGAGTCAAAATTTTAATTCTGAGGCCCCAAAACAAAGTCCTGGCCCATGGTGGGCCCCAAACCCAACAGTCCCATGGCTACAGCTGCTCTTTGCTTTCATTAGATGGATAAGGCACAGAAAATAGGTGRAATAACCCCTGCCCTTGCCCTGCCAGCTGCTCACAGCTGGATTTAAACCCCATTGGTGGAAAGGGTTGGCATTTTAATAATCTGCCACAGCACAAGGGGTCGATCTCTCTGCAAAGTTGTTTCTTTGATGAGGAACCACAACTTCTTCCTCCTCTTCACTTGTTTTTTGCTGACCAAATATGAGCAGGACTGAGTTTCAGGGGGTGGGAGCTTAGCAGGCTCTGGAACCTGAGCTCTTTTGAGGCATCTCAACSTTAACACTGAAATTCTTGGTGTTTTTATTGTTGTTCCTCCAATGTGGCTTTGAGTTCGAAAGGAATGCTGTCAGAAACGGGGGTTTGAGCTGAGGTGGGAAAAGGAAAGGTTGTTTCTACTGAAATGGCTGAATTAAAACTTCTCATCAAAAGTGTTTACCTTGATCTGGAGCACATCTGAGGAGAAGAGGCTGAGGGAGCTGGGGGTAGAAAAGGAGGCTCAGGAGGGACCTTCTGGTTCTGCACAACAACTGAAAAGGGGTTGTAGCCAGATGGGGGTCAGGCTTTGCTCCCAGGGAACAAGGGAAAGAGCAGGAGATGGCTCCAAGCTGCACGAAGGGAAGGTTAAATTGGATATTAAGAAAAATCTCTTCCCAAAAACTGTTATCAATCTTTGGCATTGACTGCCCAGGCAATGGAGTCCCCATCGCTGTCGGGATTTAAAAGCTGTGAGGATGTGGCCCTTAGGGACATGGTTTAGTGGTGGCCTTGACAGTGCTGGGGGATGGTTGGACCTGATGACTTCAGAGGTCTTTTCCAAGTTTAGGATTCAGTGATTACAACCAACTGAAACAGAAACTGACCCCATTTCCAGCAGCAGTGACTCACAGCTCAGTGCTCCCAGCCGGCCAATGTGTCCTGCAAGTTGTCACTTACATCATAACCATCCTGAAAGTCGTCACTTACATCATAACCATCCTAAAAGGACTCTAAACCAACAGACGAACCTCTGGGGCACCCTGGCACAGTCTCAGCCTGGCTTTGTGGCCAGGAGACAGTTCCATTCCAGTCAGGACAGCAGTGGGAGGACTGGTGGAACCATTTCTCTTGAGCCACCACACTGGCACTCAGCCTCTGCAAACCCTGCTAGTATCAGACATCCCTGAGAGTAGCTCTGAGCCAGGATGTGTTTGGCTGCCCATCAAAGTCCTGGGCTGGCAGCTTTATCTGCAGAACAAGGGGTCCTGGCGGCCCTGACGGCTCCTTGAGGCCYGAGTGGATCAAACAGCCAAGGCTGTGTTGTCCGTGTGTTTCTCGTGGGGCTCGGAGACAGGAAAAGTCTCTTTCGTCATGAGATGGCAACTCCTGCTGGCTCGGGCAGAGAGAGCTTTTTTCTGGCTCATTTTTAGTGTGCAGCACTCTCAATGCCTATTTTGGGATAAGAGGTGATAAAGTATTTTTTTCAGCA